TATATGAACATAAAATGTTCTGAATTTTTGCACAATGAAAAGAAAGAAAAATGTGAAAATCTATACCAGATGATGCCCAGCACATTCAAAACTCAGAAGATCAAAAGACCTATGAAAGCTTTCATGCTCTACAGAAAAGACGAATCAGTCCAGTATCGTAAGATTTTTGCAAATATATTAGAAATGAACGATCAACCGTTAGAAAAATCGAAAAGTTAAATTGCAAGTTAACTAACGCCGAACATGCTGTGATTTTCATCAATAATATATTCAACGATAAAATTATATATATATATATATATATATATATATAAAGAGAGAGAGAGAGAGAGAGAAAAGAACTGAGGTCAAAGATAGAGGAGGCAAGGGCATTGGAGGCTTCTGATAAGGGTTTTTTATACCGTGTAAGAGGCCAGGTTGGAAAATGGAGGGTGGTGAAATTTCCGGTAACTCAGAGACAGACCTAGGTGTTCAACTGACGGATGCTAACGATGTTGGTGGTGATGATGGCATTGGTGGTGGTGGTTTTATTGGTAATGCTTGTGGGTATGATGATGACCGTGGTGGTGATACTCAAAAATATTCGGTATCAAATTGTAATATTAATGATTTTAAAAATTATGGTCATATTAGTGGAAGTGACAGAGTTGGTGGTAAAGATGGTGGTGGCAGTTTTATCATAAAAGATGTTAGTTTTAATTGGAATAATAATTGTAATGTTGTTGGTGGTAAAGATTTTGGTGATCGCAGCCTGACGCTCGGGGTTGTTGGTAACGATTATTTGGATTCTTCTCTCGACGGTAATAAATGTTTAATGATGAAAGGCACTGGCAATGATTTAAATGGTAATGATCGTAATGAAAGTGGTGGCTTTAATGATCGTAAAAAGGTAGGTAGTAACAATGTAATGAAAGTTGGTGCTGTTGGTAGAAATACTGGAGGAATTGAAAATGATCGGACCAATAATAATTTTGTGTGGTTAAAATAAAATTGGGTTTACTAAATATAAGATCGATTGGCTCACAACACCATTTATGATGATATCAGTGATGGTTTGGATATTTTTGTTGTTACTGAATCATGATTGGAAATATTGACTTTGTCGATGATGATTCATTCGGAATCGAAATATGCCTCATT